GTTCTCGAGGCCATGATGTTTTGGCAGAACCTAGCCTAACCAAGGTCCAAGTGCCTAAAGATGTTGATCTCTTGAAAAATAAATATTTGTCTGTATTTAAAGGTAAAATAGGTGAAATTAAAAATGTGAAAGCTCACATAGTATTGAGAGAGGGGTCGACTCCGAAATTTTGTAAATTTAGGCCAGTGCCTTTTTCGTTACGCCATAAGGTTGAAGAAGAGTTACAGAAGATGGTGGATGACGGTGTAGCCTATCCTGTGACTAGTTCGGAGTGGGGCACACCATTGGTAGTCATACCTAAACAGCAGGGAGTTAGGTTATGTGGTGATTTCAAGGTTACCTTGAATCAGGTAATTCAACATGAGCATTACCCTTTGCCTCAACCTGATGATATATTTGCGGCACTGTCGGGATGTCAGTTCTTTTCAGTGTTGGACTTGCAGTCTGCGTACCTACAGATGCCTGTTGCGGAATCGTCTCAAGAGTTATTGACGCTAACAACTCACAAAGGGTTGTTTCGACTCCGGCGTTTGCCATTTGGACTGTCTTCGGCCCCCGCTTTGTTTCAGGCTGCCATGGACAAGATTTTGTCAGGTTTAAGCGGTATGGTAGCATACCTGGATGATGTCATCGTTGGAGGTTCTTCACGCCAAGAAGCGTACTCGCGTCTGGAACTGGTACTACAGCGTCTAAGTGACTATGGGGTCAAAGTTAATGAATCCAAATGTAATTTTTTACAGTCCCAGGTGGAGAATTTGGGTTACCGCCTGTCAGCGGAAGGAATTAGCCCGCAAGTGGGTATTCTTGATGCCATCCGGAACGCCCCGGAGCCTACTAACAAAGATGAGCTGCTTGCCTACATAGGCCTAATAAATTATTATGGCCGTTTCATACCTAATCTGTCTGCCAAGTTGAGTTGCTTTTATGATTTGATTAAGAAAGATGTGTCCTGGAAATGGACTAAACAATGTTCTGATGTTTTTCAGTTGAGTAAAACTTGGGTATGTGATTCGCACATACTGGTTCACTATGATGTTAATAAGCCGTTAGTGCTAACTTGTGACGCAAGCCCTAGAGGAGTTGGGGCTGTTTTGTCTCATATTATTGATGGTGAGGAAAGGCCTATTGCCTTTGCCTCCAAGTCTTTGAGTTCTAGTGAGAAAAATTATTCTCAATTACACCGAGAAGCTCTTGCATTGGTTTTTGGTGCAAAAAAGTTCCACAAATATATTTATGGCAGGATGAATGTTATTTTGCAGACAGACCATCAACCATTAACAGCCATATTTGGTTCTAAGAAAGGAATACCTAGTCTTGCCGCAGCACGGTTGCAACGATGGGCATTGATATTATCAACCTACAACTTTGAAGTTCGATATCGAAAAGGATCTGAGGTATCACATGCGGATGCATTGTCAAGATTACCCCTACCCATGGATGAATCCCTGGAATTGGAAGCTAACTGTGTCGCCCATGTGGAGGAATGTTTGGAGGTATTCAACTGCCAATTGGTGAGTGAAAATCCACTTACTTCTGTAGATGTAGCGAGATTTACTGGCAGAGATCCACTTTCATCTAGAGTCCGTGATTTTTTGTGGCATGGCTGGAGAGATGTAAAAGACCCTAAGTTGACTCCTGATTTAAAGAGGAAGGATGAGTTGTCCATTGAGGCTAATTGTGTATTATGGGGTTCTCGAGTTGTAATTCCTGATAAACTTAGAGACAATGTGCTTCGGTTGTTACATGACCAACATCCTGGTATTGTAAGAATGAAAATGCTCGCAAGAAGCTACGTTTGGTGGCCTGGTCTTGAACCAGCGATTGAGAGTATGGTTAGATCATGTCATATCTGTCAGAGTTCTCCAAACTCGTCTGTGAAGGTTCCATTGCAGCAGTGGCCTAAGTCCACAAGGAGGTGGCAGCGTGTACATATTGATTTTGCTGAGGAGCCTACTTCTAGACAACAAATGCTTGTACTAGTAGATACTTATTCTCGGTGGATCGAGGTATTTTTGATGAATTCTACTACCACTTCCAGTACAGTTTCCCGTCTTCGAACCCTGTTTGCTTCTTATGGGTTACCTGAAGAGCTAGTTTCTGATAACCAAGCTACCTTTACTAGTTCAGAATTTAGAGAGTTTTTGGCTAAGAATGGAGTTAAATTTACGTTAACACCACCCTACCATCCTGCTTCCAATGGTTCTGCTGAGCGCAGTGTTCAAATTGTCAAGAAAAATCTACTTCGACAAGTTTTGGGAGAGAGTGCCACAGGTTCCATTACCTTACAGCACAAGTTGGACAATTTCTTGATTTCGTATCGTAACACCCCTTGCTCTGTAACGGGGCTCACACCAGCTGAGATGTTCCTGAATTGGAAGCCTAGGACGAAGTTAACCTTACTCAAGCCTAACTTGCAAGAGACGATACATCGACAGATGGATCGACAGAAGAAGTATGCGGATAGGAGTAGAGGAAAGTTCCGAAGTTTTGAGGAAGGAGAATTGGTATTGGTTCGAACAGTAAGGAATGAGAAGGTATCTTGGGTGCCAGGGAAGATTTTACAAAGGCGTAGCCCAGTAACTTACATTGTGTCATCACTGGGGCGCACACGGGTTTGTCATGCTGACTATCTACGAGCCCGGGAATATTCCCTTCAAGAAGAGGAGCCTACTGTTCCACCCATCCGGAGTTGCTTCACACCAGCAACACCCAATAAGAGGAATGTAAATGAAAAACCAGCCTCTCCGGAGAAACAATCGCCGCAGAAGAAGTCCACGTCAGACGAACCACCAGTGGCAGAACTTCAGCCTCCCGTTGTGCAGTGCAGTCCGCCACAACTAAGACGTTCTGACAGGACTGTGAGGAAGCCTGCGCGGCTTGATTTGTAGGCCTTAGCATAAGTAAGGCGCAGAAGAATTTTTAGTTTATTTTTATGAAGTAATTGATTTTGAGTTACGATAATTAGTAGGCCAAGTTATATTAAAGTACTGTTGAGTTGGCCTACCAGGTTTTTAATTTTTATTTGGTCAAGTGAAGAATCACCAATTTTTAGTTGTGGCGAGTGTGATATATTTTAAAGTTATATGCACTAGCAGTAAGTAGTGCTATTTAGTTTGTGTGTGTGGCTGCACTGCCAGCGCGATGACGTCACGGCTGGTGTCCCTGAATCACTCTCAGTCTTCGTTATCACTACAGGTTAGTCGCTGTATTATTTCTATGTGCGGTTCTTTTAACTTTGTAGTAATCCGATATTATAGATGCGGACTTAGCAAATGAGAAGTCAAGAAAGTCACGCACAGGATATTTGTGTATGTTTGCTAATGGCATTGTAAGTTGGTCTTCAGTGAAGCAACATTGCGTTACAATGTCAACCACAGAAGCAGAGTTTGTTGCTGCGAGTGAGGCTTCTAAGCAAATAGTATGGTTGAAAACTATGTTGGGCGAGATATATGGTCAAGAAATCAAGGCTGTTCTTTTTGTAGACAACGCTGGAGCTGTTCGACTAGCTAGAAATGCTGGAGAGTTTCATAAGCGGTCAAAACACATTCATGTGAGATACCAGTACGTAGGTGAGCAATTTCTTGCAGGTACATTTGATGTACGTCACGTGTCTGGGAATGACCAACTAGCTGATTTACTGACGAAAGGCCTACCAGTGTCCAGATTGAAAACCCTGTTGGAGCGTGTTAGTTTGAGGGCATATGGAAAGAAACTAACTTGCTCACTGTCTATTTACAATCACATGGTATATAATTAATTAAAATCATGTGTATGATTGTTTTATCTTAAAAAACAGTTTCTGTAAACACAGTTAATAATTAAGTTTAACAACTATTAATCAATTATATTTTCTTTCTTTATTTAAAACTATTGTTTTAAAAATAGCTATTTTAGTTAGGTAGCTTTAGTAAAAAAATCTGAATTAAACTTGATTGAAATTCCAATACATTGTAAATGCTATGCAAGTCTCTAAAAAACACTCCGCAATCAAGAGTATCATTAGTAGCTCCAGTACTGAGAAACGTCATTGCCCTTTGTTATGCACCATGGTTGTTACAACATTTGACTTGCACTCCTACTTGTAGCTCAATTTATTCCCACTAGTGGCAGCACTATCCAAACAAGCTGCATTGCTATCGATTGATATGGCCTATGATATGGCATTTACAACCTGATTTTTGTATGAAAACTGATAATTTCAATTTTAGCATTTACAACGTTTTGGAAATGCACGCTTCACTTGTAGCTCACTATATCAATTTCACAGAAAAAGTAAATCGGTTCTGGGTCCAGGTCTTACCATGGGTACTACCGTAATAGCTTATTCCCTATATGGGAAATTCGCTAAAAGATTAGATAGCCTAAGACAAGATAATGCAGTTTGAGTTGCATTGAGGCCTTTTTCTTAGATGTCTTGTTATGTTTAACTCACTTTGAAACTATTCTGATCCCATAGCATGACACATTGGTAAAGTACTGTGTGTCCTCTTTAACTACGGCTAAATGCACACAGCAAAATCGAGCCATAATGAATAATGAACAGACGTTGAAATCATCAGCACTTAAGTGTATAACCAACCAGACATGAAATCACACACATGAACACATGAAATCTCATTTTAGATTTTAAATTAGGACACAGAGAAGTAAGATACAGAGGAAACGTTCAATGGTACACTTAAGTGGTGACGAACACTAGTCGCTGGTGGTCGCTGTTGTCTAGGACAAAGTCCAGCAAGGTCCCCCTCGCCCTCATGTCCTAAAATGCTCTCAGTGGAGGAAGACTCTGCACCCCGTGCGATAGGAATTTTTGCAAAGTACTCAGGTTTTTCTTTTCCTTGCTTGTCACAAGTGTATTTCCGGCACAACATTCTAGTGCTGAAAGTGAACCGTAGTCCTATAAGCAAGTTTCCTCTGTACCTTGGCTTATTTCTCTGTGATTTGGATGAGACAGGAGATGTTTATTGAATAACAGTATCCAGAGTATCATTTAAACTTACTTCAAGTTTGTTAATAAGCTGTGGTCCAAATTCATCAGTTTCTTCTTCTACAATTTGAGCTGTCTTGGCCGTCATAGACATTGATGTTACAGCCATGTTGTCCTGAAAATATACAAAGACAAACTTAATATTAGTGCAAGTTTTAACTTTTAGTTCTGAGCAAAGTAATTAATCTGGTTTGAGTGTTTTGTGATTTTTAAATGAAGATTTTCTTCAAGACATTAATTATAGAAAAGTATGTTTAGAGCAAAGGCTCGTCTGAAATAACTAAAGCCGGGTTTACATGATGCCAGTTGGTGAGACAAATGTCATTGCCAATTGGCATCACGTGGTTTTGGAATTGTCGTAGGCCAGTTCAGTTGAACGCGGCCCTGTTCACACATGGCCGACAATTGCCTAAGCATTTGACATTGGAACATGGCTCCACATCTGGACTTGGCACTTTTTTCAGATTACCCAACTCAATGTTAAACGTACCGCGAATAGCCTTGATTTTTGCTTTTACGTCAGCTACACCAAATCCTTAGACCCTTAAATTTTCCGAAATTGTAGTGAGGGCCGTCTGTCAAGCATTTTTGTCTCTGTATAATTCATCTAGTTGGCCCCACAGATTTCCTTTGTTCTTTGTGCAATTCGACGAATTTTAAATTTATGTCATGATTCCACTTTGGTCCCATTTTTGCTAGTGAAAAAAACAACACAACACACGCTTCAAGTGACGCAAGGGAACTAGTGTACTACCGGTACTACTGTATTATATTGTCTGTGTACTACTGTCAGGTAAGGAGGCTGGCAAGACAGCGCTACTGGACTGGCCTACACCATCTACACGGCGCCAACTGTGGCGACAACTGGATTTTCGAGGGGTGGGGGCCTCGCTGAGTTCAGCTCATTGTCCTCAGTCTACTCCCGGAGACAACTGAATTTCGGGGCAATTGGCGGGCTAGATTAGGCTACAAGTACTCGCTGAGGACTTGTTCATACGAGTACTTTAACATTTTTCCAGATGAGTCGCATGCACTATACTTTTTGCCACACTATCAGCAACAATTGTAGGGTACAAGATAAATAACTTAAAACACGTTATTTACCCTAGGTACTGTACTGTTTAAAGTGCACAATTTTAATAAAAAAAGCCTTTTATTAAAATAGTTTAGCAGAATTATCAACTGTAAGGCTTTCTTTTGAAAGAGTATACCTTTCCAATATTTATTTGTGAAAGTGCAATGTGCCTCGGCTAAACCGTTCTTTATTTAAATAAAATTAGGTTTAACAAGTAACTTAAGCCTATAAACTATCCTACAGGAGAGGTAATTTCTGTGTTTAGTAAAATGTTAAATAGCTTTTGCTTACCATGAAGTAAAGAAAACTACCCTACTAAAATTTAATCTGTAGCCTATACTGGTGCAGGTGGTTAATTAACCAGTCAAACTAGTAGCCTACATACAGTTTACATATTCTCCATAAGAATGACATAGGAATTTTAGATTTACAGTTTTGGTACGGTAACTTATTTTCTTTGTAAACATGAAGCATGCAAGAATACTTTAACATCGGTACACAATTCTTTTCTTTTTACTATTTAGGATGAACATCCAAAATTTTTTGTTTTGAGTGTAAAAAGTGAGGAAAATCCTCACTTATTCCCCCATATTCTCCAACCCCCCCACCCAAAAAAAAAACTGCATTCCCATGTAGCCCGATCATGTTGGTTAAAATAAATATGTTTAAACACGTAACTCGGATATAGGCCTAAGTATAAATAACTTAGGCAGAGTTATCGTGCTAATGGGAATATGGTCTAGATGTTACAGTACTGTAACTTATATGAATTTGAATGGACGGTGTTATAGGCCTACGGTAATAACTTATTTAGAAAATTTGCCTGATATCATGGGCTACAAGCCTTCAGGTGTGCATCGGAGATCAAGACTGTGAGCTGAGCCATTGATGTTCACATGACATCTTGGAAGTACGGTAAGTTATTTTAAATCTAGCTTAACTTAGGCCTACATTTAAAAAATTTTGATTTGTAAGTTAACATTTCTTTACCCCACACAAATGGGCGTTAGGCCTAGTTTTAACAGACTTTTATTAGTTAGCAGACCAAAGTTTTTAAAACTTGAAGGCTATTAAAGTTTAGATTTCCTACCAATATAATAATAATGTAGATATATAGGTAAGTTAATCACTTAAGTTAGATTAGGCATTACTTATAAGTTCATTTGAGATAACAATTAGCGAGTTCGGTATTTGGTCTGTTGACCCACAAATTTAGTAAATTACAGTAGGCCTAGGTCTTACCGGTACAGGCCTAGTACTGTCACAAACTGGAACAATTTATCTAATTTAGGCCCACATTGTTCACCTAAGTTAACTTACTGCACTATGTATTTACAATGAAAAAGATTGAAGATAATTTTGCACCTAGGCTTGGCCTTAACGAATTTAAATTCTCTGCATTTCATTCTGTCGAGCAACATAGTCTAGATCAGTGGTTAATCCTAAGGCCCCTATTAGACGAGGTAGCCTGGCGGAGTCGCCAGCGACCAAACTGGCTTCTCAGCTTGTCAAGGGTCATTGATTCTTATGGATGATATTACACGAGGGTAGCCAGCGACGCAGCCACACTTTTGGCGACCGACTGGCTACCGAGCCCCGTCGCCACTGCGGTAGCCACTGGCTACCCATATTGGCGACGCTGCGTTGTAGCATATGGAGCTTATTACACTAGGTCGCCAGTATCACGTCGCCACTTGGTCAGTTCATATCACGGGGGTACTTGCGCACTGTTGTGTTGCGTTCTGTTGTGTTGTGAGTGGGTAAATTGTTCACTTCAGTTGATAAAATGTCTACATCTGATTCAGTCGAAGGGATACGCGAAGATATGAAGAAAAAAGAAGAACCTCCGAAAGGCGAACAAAAGAAAGAATCAGAGAAAAAACAAGAAGAGCCGCCGATAGGCGATCAAAAGAAAGAATCAAATAAAAATAATATCAATAACAAGTAGGCCTAGTAATAATAATGACAATAAACAATAAATAATACAAATAACAAGTCCCCTACAAGTAACTTAGGCTACAAGACAAGCACTCACAACAAAATGAGTAACGGCGGTAAAATTCTTGCTACTCAACTGGCTACTAGGTTTGGTGGCCAGTGCGTCGCCAGCTATTGTCGCTGGCGACGTCGCCAGGCTACCTCGTCTAATAGGGGCCTAAGTTAATGAGCTTTTTGCATTTAAACAGAGGTCTAATTAAAGAGTTCAGGCGAACAATTGGAAACATATTTTTATAAGTTACCAAATGCAGCCAAGCAAATCACATACATTTGTATGTAAGCCAAAAACGGACAAACTTTTTAAGTAGGCTACTGCTGGACAGAGCTAAGTTATGACTTTAGCTAGGCCTAGCCTGGGCTCCTAGGCTAGTTGTGATGAACCTGGATTTCAATTACGGCCAGACCACAATAACTTATAAGGATGGTTTAGGATATTAAGGTAAATGACTTAAGATAGAGAATAATGCTTAAAATTATCATGACTTGATAAAAATAAGAGAGATGGCACGGTATTACGGTAAGTTACTTACAAAAATACGTTACTTACTTCTTCGGTCTTGAAGGCTGGAAACTGGAATTTGCTCAAAACTGCTTTATTGAGTAATCGAATGAAAAATAAAATTTTCCCCTATAACAGCTAGCCTATATTCTGTAGCGATGTTGCAAATCAAATAGTTATAGCCTACTATTGCAATACACAAGTCGGTAAATTTATGAATACAATTTTAAGTGCAGACGTAAAAACAAAAACATTGGCTGTTCTTAATTTGAGTTTCGTCTTTTTGACGGTCTTTCTGGCGCTGCCGCTAAAAGCAAAAACCAAATTCATAGAAAAATATTGAATTTGTCATAGAGTACAACATTCCCAAATAAATTATTGGGAGAATGTTTTGCATTATTTTATGATACAGCCATAGATAAAACATACTCCGTTAGTCTATGATACAGCGTAGAATAATACATTCTTCATAACATAATACCATAGATAAAACCATTTAAAACATACTCCCTTAGTAGATTTCTCATCCTTATGGAACAGCTGAAGACAATTTTATTGTTAGTTCTGTACGGTTTTCTGCAGATGTCGCGTTTTGTTTACAATTTGTTTCCCGTTATTACAGCCATTTAAAACCTCGTTTAACCAAATAATATATCTAATCATAAACAATAACTTGTCCCCTAGTTATATAACCAAACAGTAAAGCACAAATCAAGAAATTAACCCTAAAATAATAGAAACAAAGATTCGTCGACACTAGCGCCCATGTGTCACGTACATGAACTATGAACTAGACACGAAAAACGTGCTTCAAAATTTACAATGGGATGAGAAGTCTACTTGTGTTGGTTAGTCTATGAGCCTTATTATGCGCGGCCACTCGAGTGGCGCGCAACCGCGACTGCTCAAAGGCCACTTTTAGCGGGCCTTTTTATCATATGGAGCTTATTAAGCGACGCGACTGCGGTGGCGAGGCACGCGACAGTCGCCGCGACTGGCCACTCCAGTCGCGCACCCTCGCTACTAGTCGCGAGCCCACGCGACTGTCGCGTAACCAGCGGGCCATGTTATCATATGCTGTTTATTACGCGCAGCCACAGTCGCGGGCCACAGCGGACCCTACTCTCTGCACTCGCCTCAGTCCTGATTTTTGTGGTTAGGGTTCACTTACTCTACGAATCATTGACACAATGAGCCTCCAAATATGTAATTCTTAAAACACATGGCTCACTTACTCTACAAATCATAGTCTATACGAGCTTCGTAAATAATATTGAAGGTTCACTTGCACTACAGGCTCGTATACTATACGAGCCGATCAAAAATATCAAATAAATGAAGAGGGTTCACTTACTCTACAGATCATAGTGCCTATGAGCCAAGCGTATGAATTCTTGAATAATTCAGGAATAAGCTCGTATAGTATACGAGCCAAAATACTGAATTTAAATAAATTACAGGAGTAGGCTCGTATACTATACGAGCCTATTTCATGATAACTATTACACAAATAGAAGACGGCTCACTTACTCTACAGTTCATTGGCACAATGATCTGTAGAGTAAGTGAACCCTCTACAAATATTAGAAGGCTCACTTACTCTACGGTTCATTTAGCTACTCGTCGCGCGGTTTGCAGCGCATCGTTGCAGGCGTGTATGGTAAACCAATACCGCAGTTCTGCCGTTCTGCCTTACTTCTGCCGTTTACTAGTCTTGCAGCGTGAAAGAGAGCTTGTTATGTTAATGCATTGTTGAATTTTTAACTTGTGTACTCGTTGCTAGAAATCAAGCAATTATCAAGTACCGGTATTACAGGAGCTATTTTAGGAGTTATTACAGACTTAATTTTCAATTAATTAAAAAGACTCACGTAAAAGCTTATGCAACTAATGGAATTACTTACTGTGTTATGAACATTTCTATATAATTAAAGTTGTAAATATTTTTAAATTATTTAGAAGATTACCTTTTTAGTGTTTTCTACAAACGTGTCTCAACTTTGTAACGTTATTTCCAAGATCAATTATCTTCTATTTAGTGGAATTGGCCTTAAGAGGAGACCCAAAATAAAAATTCATCATTGTTACAAAAGTCATGGTTTATTTAAAATAAAACAGTTTCTTCTAAACACTTTCAAAACCAAACCCAAAATCAAATGAAATTTATTTACTTCCATTAGTTTTCTTTAAATATAAAAAATCAACAAATTTAAAACATTCGGCTAATATTTTTTATGGGACATTTTAAAACCATTAATCACTGGTACACACTTGAGCCCTGTGAACAAACAAACCCGTTCCTAGCTTATCTGTCTACAATACAAATACATATTTCTTTAATGTTTCAAACTTCTTTAAATTGAAAAGCTAAACAATTGAATTAAAATCCTTCGAAATTAAATTAGGTTACATTAATTTCTTCCTGAATGAAATAAAATTTACAATTGCTAAACTTTTCTAGAAACATTAAAAACTTTACTTTAATTAGCATTTATTATTTTTAGATCCAAATTTAACTCTATTAAATAAATTCTAAAAGAATAAAAAAGGTGCATTTTATATTTACATCTTTTACTAATTGAAAGAAAAGTTAAATATCTAATAAGAAAACATCTATGGTCTTTCTTGTTATTACAATAATTAGCAGAGAGGGAGGGATAAAAGTGAATGAATTAAAATAACATAAAAAAATAAAATAAACTTACTACTCATTGAGTAGGCTGCAGAAAATTCACCCCAGGTCTGGACACTGTACATCTACACTCTTGAACTAACAACCCCACATGGAAGCAGCTCCCTTATATAAGATATCTCAGTTCTGGAACCTTCTACCCCTACTCTGGCCAGCACATGCACTGGACCAGGTGATAAGGAAGCTTCCAGAGCTTTCTTATCAAGAAGTCTTTCCACTGCAGACTACTCTTGACTATTGTAAATGTAAATCTTTAATTTCAAATCATTACAACAAAAAATAAAATAAAAATTATTTTCTCAAATTTCTATATGAAACTAAACCATGTTACAACTTAAACACATAGCCGCAATAATGTTAATGTGCATGAGCATTTTCGCCAATGATAATGTACCAATGTCGACCGTACCAATGTCTAAACTTTACTTTCAAATGGATTTGTTGTTAAATTTTTTTATATTTATACATCATACATAATTTAAATGTTTTTACGTGACAAAATAACGAAATATAACAAGCTAGATTAAATACAATATAATTTAGGCTTGAGCTAATGGAAAACTGTAGTTTTCGCATACTTGTCTTAACTTACAGATTCAATTACATCCTTTGTTTACCAAACAAGATATTTACATTTATTGAAAAAATAACACTTAGACAGATCAATAATTGTAAATTACGATGACAACTGCATTTACATAACAATCATTATACAAAGAAGTATGTTTTTGTGACAAAGAGGTCAAATAGAAATTTCTTTTAGAACTATATAATTTATAAAGACCGGCCTTTTACAGTAATATGGTTTACAGTACTTATTAATTGCGCAGTTGTTAAATGCCCTTATAAACATATGAAAATTAAAAATTTAAATTAATAAATCATTTTCTTTACAAACTCATGAACAATACAATACGTTCGCTGACCCCTCATAGAAATGAAAAGTAAAGATGATCGCAAGATCTCAAGTTCAAGTCACGTTCTCATGGGCAAAGACCTGGCTGAGAACAAGCCAGGCATAGATTGAATTTCGATTTTAATGAATAAAGTGTAAAAAAAATGGCCTGATCTGTAGTTTTGCAAAGTGTTTTTAAATTTTTGAAATCTTTATTAGTTTGGGCAGGATTATTCATCAAAGTTAGGTTTTCTCCCATAAGATTAACATGGAGGAATCTAAATATTTAATTGGAAACTTTGTGTCCACTAATTCGAGAGAACGGCTGGGCGTAGAAACTTGGTAGAGGTGTCCAAATAAAGGTTTTGGTCTGTAGATGAGTTATCAAAAGAAAAACTAAGTAAATTCCCTTAGGGCTCTGCCCCAGAAGCCTTTAAAGATCCCTCCACAGATTTGTTTACATTTTGGTCATGTGGATAATACTTTTTAATGAAACAGCTGTTAATTATTTATTAGGAGTTACTGAACTGTCCAAAAGAAGTATTTGCAATGTTATTTTCTGTTTGTAATCTATTATATTATTAAAGTGATACAATCAAATTTTATGTAAACGGTTAAGGTCATTTACCAAATGAAAATATAGGCATATGGCACATCAAAATGAAGCTTAGAGTGTGTAGATTTGCCGAAAAGTATTGAAATGGACGAATTCCCTGAGGGGGCTGCCCCACAGGCTGATTTCCAAAGGGCTACGCCTGGCATGCTTTCAATGTTTAAATGATTTAATTTAATTTAGTTAATGAAACAGCTGGTCTGTACAATGAACTGGTGTTTGTTTATTTACTCGAAAAAGACGTTGGTGTTGTGAATGTAGATTGAGGATGGTTAGTGACGTTGTATACGTTTTGTAAAGTATTGCTCAAAGTTTCATTTTTTAATTTAAGAGTAAGCTACATGTCAAGAGGCTTGACTAAAATTGAAGGATTATGGTTAAACATGTTATTCATGAAGGGTATTGCTAAAGTATGCTAAGGTATGTTGCCATATTCTTAGGGATCTATTAACATCAAAAGTAGGGGTTTGAAAGTAAGTAGGTTTGCGCTGTTTGCGCTTTTAAATCAGTTTATATTTTCAAACTAAATCATAGAGTTGCTGTATTTTAAAACACACATCAGCACCACTTTAATAGCTCTCTAGGTCACATTTTCTTCCCGTTGCAAAGCACGGGTATAGCAGCTGGTAGCTATTTACTTTACAAGTGTAGTAAGAGCGTTTTTACATCACGCAGGTGAAGGTTGTGCAACGAGCGGAAGCGAGTTGCATAATTTACCTAAGTGATGTATAAACACGCTAACGTACAAGATTTTACCTGACCCGACAATATACAGGAGGTTACGAACAATATTAATCATTATCCATTTCACTCATCTTCTAACAGTAACGTTCATTTACAAACAAAAGCTAGGTTAGGAAAATTCTTCAAAACATAACAATAAAATTCAAGAGCACAGCTGATTTCTAGCGTTGAACGTCGTTGGCTCCATAGATGTATATTTTTTAAGTTAATCACTAAATGTTATTTAAATGGGTTTCATTACATCACCGAGTGAGTTTTTGATACTTTACATCACTCGAGAAGTAAGGAAGTTGTATACATCACGCTTGGGATAGGGAAGTTTAACATGGCGGGTTAGGTAAAATTAATTTT